CAGGTTTTTGCTGTTGTTGTTGTTGTTTTTAGGAAAACAGGCAGGGTTTTTTAGAGGTTGCCATCAAACAATCAAATATATTTTTAAAAGACAGGATAAAATATAATAGTAATAACTGCCAGTCAAATACTTATTATCTTTAAACAATACTAACATGTGCCTTGGCACTATAGGTTTTATCCCTTCTTGGTCTCTTATCTGTTTGTTATGTGGCTACTCTATCATTAGAAGTAAGTGAATGCTCTAAAATGGTTTTTTAAACTTGGTAACTTTAAGATGTGAGGAATTCAATTCCCCAACCAAACAATGGGAATTAAAATCAACCTATCTTAAATTTCCCAAGTTTGACAAATATTGCTCTAGAACTTCCTAGGAATTTTAAAAGCTATGAGAATATAAAGTTTTAATTAAAACGATCTACTGTATATCAGACTGCTCTAAAAGATTACAGAAAAACTTCAATTGGTTCTCAAATAATAATCACATAACTTATTAGAATTAGCTGCCACCAATATCCTTTTGATAAAATGAAAGTATCTTCATTGACTTTTAGATATTATTTCATTATAGTATGCTAACATATATAGGTAGCCCTCATTTAACTATTGCAATTGGTACTGGCAACTTTGTAACTCAGTAATGTAGTCATTAACTGAAATATCAAAAGACTGAAACAGAGTTTTTGACAGTTCTACTGTGGTGGTTAAATGCAACATCATATGACCACAACTTACAATTGACTACTGACTTCTCCACTGATTTTGCTTGTCGAAAGCTAGCTATGAAGCTTGCAAATGGTGATCAAAGTGACTGTTGTAACTTTGAGAAACAACTGCAAAGCTACGTTTTCAATGCCATCGTAGGTTCAAATGGTCACTAAACAAAGGAGTTGTTAACCTAAACACATAGTTGTTAACTATGTGATGGAAAGTACTAAGGAGGTGGATCCCCAGGAGGGAAGGGGTGCATTCCAGAGGAGTAATAACATCAACAACTCAGCCCAGATATCATGTGAGAGAGAAAGACAGCCTCCTTGTAATAATTGACAGACTAAATTGTAGTTGCAGCAGGAGTTTTCAGTCTGGCAAGATTTTGTCTATAGGTGCGAAACAGTAAAAAAATTCAGCTTGGAAGTACTGCCAAGTGTCATTCAATCAGAATATCAAGTTTCTATTTTTAAAACCCTCAAATTCTATTATTATTTTATATTCAGTGCTGTTTCTCCTTAAAGATCCTAGGTATCTTAAATAGATCTATATTTATATATGTATTCATTTATTGAACTCATATGTCACACATTTGCTCAATTAAAAGCAAGATATATACAAATTTTCCTCAAAATGTTTAATAAAGTTAGAAATTCTACAAACATCGCTTTTTGAACAACTGTGTAAAAAAGCAACTATTGCCTGTTTTTTTCTGCTAAACACAGAAGCAGTTGTTTAAATTCAATTAGCCATTGCCTCACCCCATAAAATAGCTCTCAAGCTCACTTTGGTCCTACCAATATAACCATGATCTTGTTTAACCAGGCAATAGGTTGCAAAACTTTAAGAGATAGCTTTAGATTATGCTGCCCATGTGTACATAATGTACAAATTATCTATAATTATTCCTTCTGGCATAACATTTTAAAATATAGGTTTTTTTTCAGAATACCATAATCTTTATAAAATTTAGTCAAGGACAACATACTGATGTCTCAAATTACTGACTTGATTTTTCTTCAGTAAGTATGACTGACTCTAATACTGTAGATCAAAAATCAATATTTCTGAGACCCATCCAACCTTTCATAGAAATCAGCATTAACATTCCCAATATTTCAGAGATTGCTGTATATTATTACAGGCAGTCTTTGCTTACCAATGATAGCTAAGATAGGGAATATCATCGCTAAGCCACATGGTTGGAAAAGGCAGTTCAATATTCTCAGTTGCTGTCATTAGGTGAACCCCACATGGTTGTGGCATCCTGAGGTCACCATTGGTCACCATTTGCAATGCCCTGCCAGCTTCCCCATTAAATTGACTTCTCAGAAGCTGGCAGTGAAGGTTACAAATGGTGACCATGTGACTGCAGAATGTTGGAATATTGTGATTGTAAGCCAGTTGCTAAGCACCTGAATCAAGGTCACATGACTGTGGGGACCCTGCAGTGGCCCAAACTATAAGGACCAGTTGTAAATCTCTTTTGCTCAGACTCAAAAATTCAAATGGTTGCTGAATGAATGATTATTAAATGAGAACTACTTATATATTAGACATGTACAGTCAACTGATTTATTAATTTTGAGTATGACATATTGTTCATGGACTTGCAGTATAAACATTTTATTTAGATTTTTAAAAAGCATAATAAAATATATGTTAACTGGTACTATATTTCTCTACTGAAATTTCTTAATGAAAAATTCTTGACTACTTTGTACAACAATTCTTAATGGAAGTGTGTGTGTGTGGATGTGGATATATATACACACACATATACCAATATATGGTTTCTTATTAAAGAAACATTATTTTTATTCTAAGAGTCCTTTTAGTCCCAAATTTTCATTCAAATCCAACTCAGCAAAGCATTCTGATCTGATGAATAGCTTGGCATTTCAACTATATTGCAGTTTTCCTTAACAATGTATCATATAAGCTCACAATAAGACCAAACAACAAGGAAAACCAGATACAAATATACTATAATCAACATTTCCAGTTAGAATCAAACTAGTACACAGCATGAAATAAAAATATATTAATGTTATTATTAGTTCCACAGCAATTATAAGAAACAAAAGAAATTTCAGGGGAAAATGGAAATCAATGAAAGTAATGTATTTTCTAGAAGAACGTCTTTCAAAAAATTCTACTTTCAGTAAAACAAACTAAGATATCCAAAATACTGTTCTTGGATTTTGATTTCCAGAGGTAATAGAAATAAATTTATGCTTTGATTTAAATAAAAAAATAGAGAAGTGCAAATATTCATATTAGATATGTTATTTGCCGTCAGCTAGAAATATAACTATAATTCACACATGCATCATTTGGTTTTTCTTAAACTGTGAACCAATTTTTATATTTGTTCAACTGCACTTGCAGTTATATGGAGATTACATATACCGTATATTGCTTTACGATTGTAGCCCATTCCCAAATTTCAGAAAAATAATAATACTTAAACATCAAGGTTTGCAGACCTGTTTTGTCTGAGATTGTACAAACATATGTACAGATTTTCTCATAATTATATATCTCAGAAAGGCAGGAGAGACTAATCCATAAGTAACAAATGATGTAAGCGTACATATTTATAGGCAAAGGAACTCAAATTACTATAGATAATGCATCCATACGCATAGATAATGAATTTCTACTATAGGTAATGGAGCTCAGGTTACTTCCTGTGCCTGTCCTCTTTTGGAATCAAAGAGAGGACTAAGGTGGGGTGGGGGATAAAACAGGGAAGAAAACATCTCCCATAAATCACGAAGCAGCGGCAGTTTGGGAATGTCAGGTGCCAAAAAGAAAACAATTTCTACTGTAAATCTATGGAATTGTTGTAATAAGATAAAAAAAAAAACCCTGGTCTTATCAACTTGATTTAATTGATTCCATTCATCTAAGAACAGATTTTCCCCACAACAGGCATCTACTATTGCTGACATCACTGGCCAATAAATCGTGATTTCTTTCTTTTTTATTATCTCTTTTATTTATTAAACATGAAACTTAGTCAACTGAACATTTAAAAATGTGTCACAAATATCATTGACTGATACTGATGGTTGATATGGGTTGCTGCCAGCATCCTAGGTATCAAATCAAGTATCTTCTTAAAATAATATTCTGAGTGGAGCAGGTTTTTGCAGTTCCGCTGGTGTTACTGCGGGAAGCTGCAATGTCTTGATGTGTTTTATAAAATTCTTGGACATAGTACCAAGTGCCCGGATGACAATGAGTATTATTGTTACATGTTTCATCCATAGCTGTGTAGTTTCGATGCCCAGGATATGATATTTCATATTTTTTTTCAGTTCTTTTTGACTCTGACGTCTCCTGGTACCGCGATATCAATAAATTGTACGTTTCAGTTTTCGACAACTGTGATATCTGGTGTGTTGTATTCCAAATGACAATCCATCTGTATTCAAAAGTCCCACAAGAGCTTCAACTTCTCATTTTCGATAACTTTTTCCACTTTATGTTCCCATTACTTTTGGGATACAGGTAAGTCATATTTTTTTACATAACTACTAGTGGATTAATTCAGCAACTCGGTTGTCTCTAGCTTTTTAATCAGTTTGTGCAATTTTGCTGCATTCACATATTAAATGTGAAACAGTTTTGACTTTGTTGTTGCAAAGTCAGGAGTTTGGATTGTCAGTGGGTTTTTGTATCTTTGCTTTCATGGCATTAGTTTGTAGTGCTTGTTCTTGAGCAGCCAGTGTAAAACTTCAATTTCTTTCTTGATGGTTCCCATCTTAAGCCATGCCCAAGTAGTTGTCATCACATTTTCCTTCAATGTGTTTCAAGTGCTGTCCATGGAAAGCTTGGTTTTTCTATCTATTTAATCTGTCATCCAGCTGTTTTTCCTTATATTCTGTCTTTACTTCTGTTGTTTTTATAACGTTCTCTGTTTTCACAGCCTGCAGCAATTTTTCTGTACTTTGGGTCACACAATCATTCAAACTTCATTTTTCTTCTACAATTTGATGGATTTGCAATAGCCCTCTGCCCCCTATTTTTCTTGGCAGGTACAACCTGTCGATGTCATAGGTTATTATTATCTCTTGTATTCATTAAACATGAAACTCAGTCAACTGAACATTTAAAAATGTGTCACAAATACCATTGACTGGTGCTAATATTATAAATATTATAAATAAATATTATTATTATTGTTGTAGTTGTTGTTATATTCGGGTATTTGTGTTTGCGTGCATGAAGTATTTCCTAGATATTCTAACTCGTAAAAGAATTCCGACGTTGGATATTTCATACCTTGATTTATGAGGGGATGTTTGTTACTCCGCCTCAGTCAGGACACGTGACCCTCGAGGGCACATGCTGGGAGCTCCTGTTCGGGCTACCTGGAAGGGGCCAGAGAAAAACAAGGCCAAGATGCCTCGAACTAATTAAGACTCTAGCGAAGGATTCTCAGTGCTCACAAAAGGTGCCTGTCCTGTCACACCCCTCAGTGGTCTGATCTCCCTTTCATATCGGCATGCGCTATAATTATTCTTTTTCCCTGGAGGCGGACCTCCACCGCCATCCCAGTACCTGACGGCCTCGAGGATTCGGCCGTCCTCACATCCTGCCGAGCGGAGCCACGATCTCTGGTTGCACCTCCAATACCCAGCGCCCCCCAACGCGCATCTTGCCCACCTGCCCCGCGGCAGAACCCTGGTGGACCCGCGTCCTTCTCGGCAGCGGCTCGGAAGGAGCTCCTTCTCGCTCATTACCTGCCCGGGAGAGAGGGAAGCGGGGCCGACCTGCGGCCCCGAAGGGTCATACCCGCTCTAACGGCCCGGCTAAGTCCAGTTTTCTCCTCAGGCGACTCAATCTCTCTCTTTCCCTGTCCCTCATCCAGGCCCAGCCTGAGTTCAGCATCGGCGCGTAAGCGCGGGGGTTGTCCCACCCACTAAGGGAGCTTGGGAAATGTAGTGTTCTCCTTTTGCGCGTCGTTTGAAGTGTAAGGTTGCGCGAGAAAAGATCTCAAGCGCGTTTGTGGGGGAGCTCTTTTTTCCTCACACATGCGCTTTGGAAAGATGGGAGGCCCACCCATTTATCGCTCTTTAACTGTCATAATTGAATGAAGTTAATCTTTAACCACCAATGAAACTGTTGAGTAAAAGAACAATTAAGATTAGAAAGTGTTGGACCCTTCCTCTTTCCTTGATTTTTTAAAGAGGGGGAGGCGATAGCCAACCGTTTTGTCTGAGAAGTTTTAATAGATTGCTATGTAGCAATTACTGGATTATATTACTCAGAATATCCCTTCCCATTTATATAATTGTATACAATTATAGTTTAGGCATTTGGTATGGATTAGTCACACAAAATTAGGCAGTGGATATAATGGTTAAGAACTGATGAAAGAGAAGCTGACTTTTTAGCCCAGTTTAATTTTGTTTTAAATGAGAGAAGAAACGTGAGGTGAGGGGGGGGGTATTTGTCCTTATTGACAAATCTATAACAATAATATGCATATGTTGTTGAACATGGGCTCAAGCCTTAACCTTTAGCAGCTTTGCATTAATTTTACTATCAACTGGACTGGATGTTATTAACTAGGATTTTTTAAATTTTATTTTTGTTTGTTGTGTCACTATTGCATCGAAGTGTTTCTACTATGTAACTATTTTGAGAGATATATAATTTTAAGGTAACTGAAAAATAAACAACTTTTACTTTTTTTCTGTGGCAAATAAGACAGTAATACCTAATAATAGTGTTCCAAATCAAATAAACTTTGAAAGTTATGTAGCCTATTGAAATGATTATAAGCCAACAACCATGTCTTGTGCTCTGATCTGAAGCACAACTTCTGCCCACAAAGCTCGCAGCTGAATCATAAAGCTTCCCCTCTGTTGCCTTTTAAGAGACCGGTATGATTTGCAGCACAAGGCTTACGTTTTTCATCAGGGAAAAGAAAAGCTAATAGTTGACTTTTTCAGTGTGATCTCGAGAAATAGTTTGCCATGGATTTCTAATACAGATTAGCTGCGCCCCGTTCACGGGGATGTTTTCCCTGCCTTTTCTTTTCTGCCGAACTGATAACATGTAAAGCACTTATCAGAGCATTTTTGCAGGCTACAGAAAAGGGGGGAAAGGACTTAATCGTGAGAAGGGCGCAGCTAGACATGGTGAACGACGTTGTCAAGAGTACGGCGTTGGCTCGCGTCGTCATAGTTACGAATCCTCCAGCCGCGCTTAGCTATGACGATTTTCTCAATGGCCGGATGTGCTTTGCTTCCGGGGATTGAGGCCGTGGAAGATTTCTTAGTTCGGTCTTATAGGAAGAGAGCGCAATTTGTCTTGGTGAGGATAGAAGATTTTTGTAGCGGTGGTAATGGTGATTGCTGACAGCACTTCCTAGCAGGTGCAAGGGAGTACTTATGTCGCCAGGTCCTACAGCGTGAAATGGGATGAGCAGGCGCTGTTGGAAATGGAGGTTATCATAGGGGTAATATGGGAATATAGTAGGCAGTTTTCAGCATCAGAAATATCTCATGAATGACCTTGTTTTAATATCTAGAGCAACCCTGAAAGGTAGACTAGACTCTTCAATTAAGATAAAAAGAGCTAGCCAAGAGGTATAAAGCAACGTATCATAGAATCGACTCGTGGCTTCCTCTCTTTGCCCAATTAATTGGGAGTAATTAGATAAGCTAAATTCAAAGAGATTTAAAAAAAGGCTACACACTGTAGTTAAACTAAAGAAACCACCATAAGCTGCAATAATTGCCATCAATTTGAATGGTATTAAAACGGAATAAGAGTTGTGGGAAAGGAGACAGTCGATGGTAAAATGTTGGTCCAGCATCTTTATTCTGAGGGTGGGCAGGGTAGTTATTATTATTTTTATATGGTGCTTGTTGATGTCCATTGGCTGCCAGAAATAAACTTTGGTCTAATTCTACCCTTGTAGGCTAGATTGCTGGGTACATGTATAAGGGGAGAAGTTAATATATTGAAAAGTTAATTATGTCTTATAGTGCGTTAAAATATTGAATGAAGCCTATTTTATAATTACATGGTACCTAGGAATTTTATTGCTTTGAATTTGCAGGATATTTAATGCAAAATTTTATATAGATGTATTTTAAAATTGTTTGGGCTTTGCTGTCTACTGCTGAGGTTCTTTAAAAAATTATGCATATCTGTCTTTTATCTGGGATTTTCACCATTTTTCTATAGGATGAGTTGTACCTATTTTCTAATGTCGAATAGGAAAATAAAATATATTGAGAGGTTTTGACATAGATTCTACTCCAATTATCATAGTAAATAAGACAGGTTTTATTCTGTCCCTATTCATGTGCACTTATTTTCCCAGAGTAAAATTAGAAACATTAAGATGAATTATCTGTAATGGTTACATAACTTTATGTAACCATTACATAATTTATCATTTATTAATGTTATTAATGATAAATTAACTTTTGACTGATACTCTGATCAAGAGTTCGCTTAGAATGGTATCACAGATTTGGCAGGACTATTGATTTTATTAGAGGCTGCAATCATATGTGGTGGTTTATTTGGTTTTGCACTGGCATATTATGTGAACCTTGCCTGTTGTGATTTATTAAATAAATAATGATTAACTACTATAGTATTGCAGGTGTAAAATAGGTAACAAAGTAAAAGTTTCACCAGTGACAGAAACAAAGTTTCTGAAAATGCTAAATACCTACTGTACCATGCAGTACTTAAGCATAATTATAATTGTGTGTGCTAATTTAGAATGGAATCTGCTGGGACATTTGATATTTCTTGGTTCCCTAGACTCTTTTCTAAGTTTCTTTATATTCATTACTTTTGTGATTCCAGGTGCTGAGATCAAGTTTCTTTTTCCTGTACAGATCCAATTGCATGGCCGTAGAGACAGTAGTTACACAGAGAATGGGTCCAGAGAGGATCTGTCCAAATGAGCATGAGCAGCTGGGGCTCCAAGAACCATCTGATGCAATCCTTGATCCCGTTGGCGAATGGAGTAGTGAAGAACCAGAAGACGAGGAGGACGAGAATATTAATAATGGCTATGTATATCAGCCACTGAACCAAGAACTGGATCAGGGATCAACAACACATGAATCATCAGCAACTAGCACAGAGCCAGCTCTTGACATCAATCAGCGACTTCAGGTGGCAGTTTTGTTTCAAACACCCTATATGGGAAGTAATGCTACCAGAAGAAAATTAATGCATGTATCTTTACATTTTGATTAATTTTAATGGCCCTGTGTATCATATGCAGGCAATGAGACTACATCTGCCTGATCCACCTATCGAAAGTGATAACGAGGATGAAGAGAGACTGGTATCTCAAAGCAGCCACAGTTCAATCCCCATGGATCCAGGTAATATATCAAAACTTCCAACTTTGTGTCCTGATATATTGTATAAGGATATTTATAACTTTATTTTAGACATTTGATGCATAGTCTGACACACTATACTATTTCATCACTATACATATAAAAAGCTGCAGTCCTTACTTCTTCAGGATCACCTAGCATTTTTTCCTCTCTAGCCAAGATTATTACTCCATTTGTCTCTACAATTCTCTGAATTAAATTTAGATTTTATCAATCTAGAACTAGTCCATGTGTAAACCTGCTTTCTTCTTTCTTAATCTTGGTATTGGTATGTTTGTGTAGATATACATTTCACGTTAAGCTATAGTGTGGTTTTAGCTTAGGATGGTCTAAGAACTCTGCCATGTGCTTTGTAGGATTATATGTTAACATAGTTAATTGTAGTTGTCCAGTAATAAAAATAAACTATGTCTTATTGAAATATGTGAAGCCACTATGCAGTGTATATTATCACATCTACTTTTGTAGTGGTTTGTCATATATTATTATTTGTTTGATTTGGAAATAAAACTACAGGCATGATGGCCTAATGGAAACCATAGCCATTAGCAGGATTCCTTTTCCTTCCTTTAGTCAGGCATAGAATAGGTTTGCCTGTCATCCTAATCCAACTGTATTGAGGTTTAACATGAGCAAATAGTCTTGTATCCTACTATTACGCCACTTCATCTCCAGTTGTTCAAATTAGTCTTTGGCAATTGCCTGATTATTTTAAATAGCAGAATGAACATTATTTATCAGAACAGCATGTAAATACTGTGTTTCCCTGAAAATAGACCAAACTGGAAATAAGCTCTAGCATGATTTTTCTGGATGCTCATAATATAATCCCCCCCAGTTAATTTTGATCTCCTTTTATATGATAACTAGCCCTTCATACTAGTTTATTTATGTTGAATGGCAGAATATACACAATACAATAAATAGCAGACTTGGAAGGGACCTTGGAGGTCTTCTAGTCCAACCCCCTGCCTAGGCAGGAAACCCTAT